TGTGACACAGCTGCCATGTTCTCCTGGTGTCCTAGGCCTGGAGAGGAATCACCAAGAAAGCGCCGGGCTAAGAAGCCATCCTCCCTTCTCCTCGGCCCTCTGCTTCTAGACAAGGAACCCAGGTGGTCTGGATCCAAGCCTCCCTCCCATCAGCCTCTCCTGGCCTCACCTGGTCAGACCTCCCAGGCCGCTGTTCTCCAGCTGCTCTCTCGTATCCTCTTGCTTTTTCAGACGGAGCTGCTTGCTCCATGGGCCTGGGCAGCAGCTTGAAGTGGGCGTGGGCCAAGCCCCCAAGAGTAAGGGGGGTGCAGCTGCTCCCCAGGCACAGAGCCAGAGGTCCTGGGCCATGACAGGCAGAATGCGGTCAGGAGCGAGGGGCAGGGGTGGCTGGGAACCCATCCCGGGCAGCCTGGGCCTTCTCTCCTCCCCATGCGGGCAGGCCCAGGGCTGGGTGTGCAGGCAGAAGTTGGGGAGCAGAGGATTTCACAGCCGCAGGGACACCCTCCCTCAGCCTCCAGGGGTCCTGAAGCTTCGCCAGGAAGCTTCTGGAAGCATGGAGAGAGCTGGACCTGCGCCAGCTGGAGGACATGCAGAATACACACACACATTCATGCAAATCCGTGCTAAAACCATGCACCCCACATGAACCCACACATACACACCTGGAAACACACACACGCTTACACACATGCACATAAGCTCACATGCACTCATGCTTACACACACACACATGTACACACTGTCACACATGTACAACCACACACGTGCACGCATGTACAATCACTCGTGCTTACACACACACACGAATGTACACACATTCACACATGTACAAATCACACATACCCATGCATACACACACACAGGCATGCACACACACACAGGGATGGACACACACAGGGATGGACACACACAGGCATGCACACACATAGGCATGCACACACACAGGGATGGACACACACAGGGATGCACACACAGGGATGGACACACACACAGGCATGCACACACACAGGGATGGACACACACACAGGCATGCACACACAGGGATGGACACACGGATGCACACACACAGGCATGCACACACACACAGGGATGGACACACACAGGGATGCACACACACAGGTATGCACACGCACAGGCATGCACACACACAGGCATGCACACACAGGGATGCACACACACAGGCATGGACACACACACAGGGATGCACACCCAGGCATGCACACACACACAGGGATGCACACACACACAGGCATGCACACACACAGGGATGCACACACACGGATGCAGACACACAGGCATGCACACACAGGGATGAACACACACAGGCATGCACACAGACACAGGGATGCACACACAGGCATGCACACACAGGGATGCACACACACAGGCATGTACACACACAGGGATGCACACACAGGCATGCGCACACACAGGCATGCACACACACAGGGATGCACACACACACAGGGATGCACACACACAGGCATGCACACACAGGCATGCATGCACATGCCCCCACGCCCCCATTCACAGTGCTCTTTTGTGTTCCCACCCCCCATGACAATCCCAGAGCAAGGCGAGCCTCCTGGAGGAGAGGCTGCAGGGGGACCTTGGCCTCGCAGCCCCTTCAGTCCTGGCACGCGTCTGCTGCCTGGGCTGAAACGGGCATTGGTTGCCGGAGCCCCGAGGTTCAGCAGTGGGCAGCTGGGGCCTGCCATAGGAATGCAGATCCCCACCCTCTGAGAATCCCAGCAGGTGATGGCCCCTCTCCCGGCGCAGGGGCTCCCCTCCTGCTACCTGAGGTTTGTATCTGATGAAAATGGGTTTATATGATTAAATGGAATTAAAAGGAGCCCATCCTGCATGGACTCCGCAGTGTTGTCTGAAACTCCCTCCAAGGGCTGGAGCCTGGGCCTGGGGCAGCCACCATGGAGCAAGAGGGTCCCCTGGTCCTGGCTCCCAGCGCCTCTCACGCCCCTCCCTCTGGATGATGCTTTTGCCCTCATGGAGGACGTATGAGTGCCCGTCCCATGTCGTCCCAGGTGGCAGGAGAGGCTTCCAGAGTGCTGGTCCCTGGCCATTTCTCTACCGAGGCCCAGCTGCTACCTTGGCCTCTGGGGCACTGGCCATAAAGACAAGTGGGGTGGTGACACCCCGGGGGCTGTGGACATTTGGGGCCAGGGTCCTCCGCACCATGGACATTTCACAGACCCCAGCCCCAGCCTCTTCCCACTAGATGCAGGTGGTGCCCCCCTATCCCTGACAACCACAACTGTCCCTTAGGGAACAGTCACCGGGGCTGGGGGTGGCCTGTGTCCTCCTGGTCACCCGGTCACAGCCTGGCCTTGAGCCATCGCCCCCACCCTGGCGGGAGGAAGGTCTGACCGAGCCCCACCTACTTCCTTTGCAAGGAAGATAAAGGAGCTCCAGGTGAGTCCATGAGGGCAGCTGTGGCCACAGATCACAGTGAGGACACTGACCACCCAGCAGCCACCAGTGGCCTCCGGACCCAGGTCCTGTGCGGCTCTTCTCACCCAGATGCTGTGGCTGCTGTTCCTGGCCCTCCCCTGCCTGGGGGGCTCCATGCCTAACACCCCAGGTGAGTCCTGGCCCCGTCCCACACTGGACCCTGGGGACTGGGCTAGGGCGGAGAGCTGACCCCTCACGGAGCAGAGCCTGGAAACTCCTGGAATTGCAGGAGGGCAGGGCCAGGCTCCCTGACCTCCTCCTGTCGCTCCCAGAGCCTGTCCCCGAGAATGACCTGCTGGGCATCGTGGGGGGCCACAACGCCCCCCAGGGGAAGTGGCCGTGGCAGGTCAGCCTGAGGATCTACAGCTATCACTGGGCGTCCTGGGTGCACATCTGCGGGGGCTCCCTCATCCACCCCCAGTGGGTGCTGACCGCCGCCCACTGCATCTTCCGGTGAGGCCTGGGCGGGGACCCCAGTGAGGGGAGGGTGGGAGTGGGGCCGCCCCAGGCCAGACCCCCTGAGAAGCCCAGGTCCGTCCTCCCCAGGAAGGACACTGACCCGTCCACCTACCGGATCCACGCTGGGGACGTGTATCTCTACGGGGGCCGGGAGCTGCTGAATGTCAGCCGGGTCATCATCCACCCCGACTACATTGCTGCCCACCTCGGATTCGACGTGGCCTTGCTGAGGTTGGCCACCCCCGTGGGTGCAGCAAGCAACCTTCAGCCGGTCACCCTGCCGCCTGAGGCCCTGAACTTCACTCCAGAGGACGAGTGCTGGCTGACCGGCTGGGGCAGGACATCCTACTTCGGTGAGAGTGACGGCAGGTGGGGGAGGGGGAGGGTGGTGGAGAGGTGTGGGGAAGTTTCCAGAATTTCCCCTCCATGCCCATTTATGGAGGCAGGTCCCTTGGGGGCTGACATTCACAAGCTCGGAAATAAATGGGACAGGGAAGGAAAGGAGCCCCCCTCCCCCCAGCAGGTTCCAGCTGCCCCCCCACTCCGCTGAGCCTCTCAGCCCCCTGTGTCCACTCTGGTGTGCTGATATTCATTTTGCATTAAGGACGGTGGATGGCATTTCCCAGCTCTCTTGGTCTGCCATCGGCTGTTCCCCGGGTCCACAGCCTGCTGCCCTCACTCTGTTCTGTGTGGATTTTGGGGGCATGGAGCGGGGTGAGAGGAAGAATCTGGTTACATTTTTCAATGGGGGAGTCATGCTTCTTCATATGTTCTGCGGACCTTTGGGCTGCTGGTCCCCAGCACCTGCCCCCCGTGTCTGTGTCCTGGGGCTGCTGTGACAAGGCCCACACCCTGGGGGCTTCACGCCACAGAGATGTGTTCTCCCAAAGTCCAGGTGTGGGCAGGGCCCTGCTCCCTCTCAGGCTCTAGGGGAGGGTCCCTCCTGGTCTCTCCCAGCCTCTCATGGCCCTGGTGTCCCGGGGCTCACGGTTACATGCCCACCATCTCTGCCTCGGTCTTCATGTAAACTTCTCCCCCGAGCCTGGGTCCACTCCTGTCCTGCCTCTCATGAGGGCACCTGTCTCGGACTGAGGGCCCTTCCTGTCCCATCCCAGCATGGCCTCATCCCAGCTTAATCCGCTAAGATTCCAGTTCCAAGGAAGATCCCTGGAGCTTTGGAGAGACGTGTATGCCCAGCCCCGGTCTGTCGGGGTCTGTCTGTGGAATCTGAGCCTGTCTATCACGGAACGAGGGCTCTGCAGAGATGGGCTGAGGACACACCCCCACCAAGGACAGATGGGGACACTGAGGCCCAGGCTGGCTCCAGGTCCGAGTGGTGAGAGCAGGACCAGAGCCCAGGGCCCATACGTCACAGGCGGTGTGGACCCTCCCCGTGGCTGCCTTGGCCGTGGTGGGTGTGAGCAAACCCACCGTGTCGGGGACACAGCCCCCTGCTGCCTCCTGACCCCCCTCTCTCTCCCCCAGCGCCACTACACCCACCCTACCGCCTGCAGCAGGTGCACATCCCGCTGGAGGCCCGCGGGGCCTGTGAGGAAGCCTACAAGAACTACCTGCACACCAGCGCCAACCAGAAGGTCATCCCGGAGGACATGCTGTGTGCCGGCACCCTGGGCCGGGGGCCCTGCATGGTGAGACCTTCAGGCTCTGCCTCGCCCCAGGGGGCTCCTCCTGGCCTGGGCCTTTCGAGGCCCCGGGAGAGATGTGTGACTGCGTCCTCTCTCTGCAGGGGGACTCCGGAGGGCCCCTGGTCTGCAGGAAGGGAGGCTACTGGGTCCAGGCTGGCGTGGTCAGCTGGGGTATCGGCTGCTCCATGATCCAGCTGCCGGCCGTCTTCACAAGTGTCCAGAGCCACGTCGCCTGGATCCACCGGCAAATCAGGAAGTGTGGGTGAGCCCCGGAGGGGGGCGCCAGTATCAGCGGAGGAGGCCGAAGCTTCGTCCTCACCTTCCCCGGCACGGCTTTCTGACCCCCTCCGCCTGTACCCCCCCCCCCCCCCGCCCACCTCCCTGAGCTTCAGCCTGCTCCCCTCCCCCTCTTCCTCCCCTCTCCTTCTCCGCGGGTCCCAAGAGGAGGGTGGCGGCCTCTGTGGTGCTGGGGTGCCATCCGGCTGTGACTATCTCATTAAACTGTCTGCCTACACAGGCTGGTGGTCAGAGTGGTCTTTGTGGCTGCAGAGTGGGTGGTCCCAGCTCTTCCATTTGGGAAACCTGAGTGCTGGGGGAACGGGGCAGGCCTGGGCTGGGGCAGGTGGAGTCTGGGCGGGTGAGAGATTCAGAGACTCTTCCCCAACCTCGGGGCCATCACTCCTTATCGTGGCGTTGCTGTTGTACAGTCTGGCCCTGTCACCCAGGCTGGAGTACAGTGGCACAATCTCAGCTCACTGCAACCTCCACCCTCTGAGTTCAAGCGATTCTCCTGCCTCAGCCCTCGGAGGAGCTGGGATTACAGGTGCCCACCACGCCCAGCTGATTTTTGTATTTTCAGTAGAGATGGGGTTTTGCTGTGTTGGACACGCTGGTCTTGAACTCCTGACCTCAGGTGATCCACCTGCCCCGGCCTCCCAAAGTGCTGGGGTGACAGGTGTGAGCCATCATGCCCCACCCCTATTGTGTTTTATGCAGTGTACCCCATTACCAAGTGAGGGTGTTGGCAGATTCACACACCATGCAGTCATTTTCAGGCTCTCATTCATTCCCTTATTCATTGGTTCTCCTGATGCCACTAAGGTGGCCTGTCCTGGACTATTGGGGAATAAACTTGTTCTACCTGATTTCAGGGCCTGGAGGGTGGTGAGTGTGTGACAGGGATTTGAAATGCCGCCAGGAGGCCAAGGCAGGTGGATCAGGAGGTCGGGAGTTCGAGACCAGCCTGGCCAAGATGGTGAAACCCCATCTCTACTAAAAATACAAGAATTAGGCAGATGCAGTGGTGGGCTCCTGTAATCCCAGCTACTGGGGAAGCTGAGGTGGGAGAACAGCTTGAATCCAGGAGGCAGAGGTTGCAATGAGCCCAGATCATGCCACTGCACTCTAGTCTGGCAACAGAGCAAGACTCTATACCAAAAAAATTTAAGAAAAGAAAAGAAATGCAGTGGGAGGTGGTGTCATAGACGGAAGGGTCCTCAAAAGAACCAGAGGTGGCTCCCCTGGGTGTCAGTGAGATTCATCCCTAAGGGAAGCCTGAGTGGTTCCCGGAGGCATCAGGTATGGCTGGGTTGAAACGATGAGCCTGCAGGCAGGACAGAGGGTGGGGCCGGCCGGGAGAACCACCTGTGCCCGAGGGAGAGGCCGGACACCCTGGGCTCCCACTGCGTCTTTGGAACCTGTATAGCAAACTGGCATTGCCCGCGTAAAATGAACAAGAAAGCTATTTTCATAGTGAGGAAAGAACGTTAATGATATGTCTTCTGTCAGCCGGTTAATCCTAAGTCACAGGCCCCAGCCCTGTCCCAGGGAACTGAGGCAGGACGGGGCTGAGCAAGGCTTTCCTGCACACGCTGGAGAATCCTCCCCCAGCGCTGATCACACCCTCCCTGAGCTCAGCACCAGAGAAGCACGGCTGAGAAGGGCTGGGGTGACCTGGCTCCTCATCCCCCTCCAGATGATGTGCACACCCCGGGGGGTATCTGCGGTTCCTGGGGAGGTGGAATATGTGGGAGCTGGTCCTTCCCAGACACCCTGGCCACTCCCACCCACCAGGGCCAGAGAAGCGAGGCTGCCTGGGGTCCAGTGTCTGGCCGTCCCCTGTCTCCTGCAGCCACACTTCCCAGAGCTAACCCTAACCCTAACCCTAACCCAACCCTCATGCTTATAATCCTAGCACTTTGGGAGGCTGAGGCAGGTGAATCACTTGAGGTCAGGCGTTCAAGACCAGCCTGGCCAACATAGGAAAACCCCATCTCTACTAAAAAAGAAGAAAAATTAGCTGGGTGTGGTGGCTTGAGCCTGTGATCCCAGCTATTTGAGAGGCTGAGGCAGGAGAATCACTTAAACCCAGGAGATGGAGGTTGCAGTGAGCCGAGGTCACACTGCTACACTCCACTCTGTGTCACAGAGCAAGACTCTATCTCCAAAAAAAAAAAAAGAATGGATGGATAGGTGGGTGAGTGAATGAATGAGTGGATGGGTAGGTAAGTGAGTGGGTGGATTGGTGAGTGAGTGGATGGATGAGTGGGTAGATGGGTGAGTGGGTTTGTGGATTGGAGGATGGTGAATGGATGGGTGAGTTGGATGGATGGATGAATGAGTGGATGGCTGGGTGGGTGAGTTGGTGGATAGATGGATGGATGAGTGAGTGGATGGATGGATGGGTGAGTGGATGGATGGGTGAGTGGATGGGAGGATGGGTGAGTGGATGGATGGATGGGTGAGTTGGTAGATGGATGGATGAGTGGGTGGCTGGATGGGTGAGTGGATGGATGGATGGGTGAGTGGATGGGTGGACAGGTGAATGGATGGGTGAGTTGGTGGATGGATGGGTGAGTGAGTGGATGGATGGATGGGTGAATGGATGGGTGAGTTGGTGGATGGATGGGTGAGTGAGTGGATGGATGGGTGAGTGAGTGGATGGATGGATGGGTGAGTGGATGGATGGATGGGTGAGTGGATGAATGGATGGGTGAGTGGATGTGAGGATGGGTGAATGGATGGGTGAGTTGGTGGATGGATGGGTGAGTTGGTGGATGGATGGGTGAGTGAGTGGATGGATGGATGGGTGAGTGGATGGATGGGTGAGTGGATGGCTGGATGGGTGAGTGGATGGGAGGATGGGTGAATGGATGGATGGATGGGTGAGTTGGTAGATGGATGGATGAGTGAGTGGATGGATGGATGCGTGAGTGGGTGGATGGATTGGTGAGTGGATGGGAGGATGGATGAATGAATGGGTGAGTTGATGGATGGATGGGTGAGTGAGTGGATGGATGGATGGATGGGTGAGTTGGTGGATAGATGGGTGGGTGGATGGGAGGATGGGTGAATGGATGGATGGATGGATGGGTGAGTTGGTGGATGGATGGATGAGTGGACAGATGGGTGAGTTGGTGGATGGATGGGTGAGTTGGTGGATGGATGGATGAGTGGATGGATGGATGGGTGAGTGGATGGATGGTTGAGTGGATGGATGGATGAGTGGATGGATGGATGGGTGAGTGGATGGATGGATGGGTGAGTGGATGGATGGGTGAGTGGATGGATGGATGAGTGGATGGGTGGATGGGTGAGTGGATGGATGGATGAGTGGATGGATGGATGGGTGAGTGGATGGATGGGTGCACGTTGAGTGGATGGATGGATGGGAGCGTGGGTGAGTAGATGGATCCCAGTGGCTCCACAATCTCAGCTTGGGTTTCGTTTTGGACTCAGACCCATCTGACTGAGCATTGTGCATTGTGTGTAATTAACTGGGAGAAGCACACATCTTCTGTACGTGCAGGAACCTTCTTTTCATTATTATTTATAACAGCAAATTACTGGAAACTGTCTAACTGTCCATGAAGAGCTGGTGAAATGTTTCCCTAAATCCATACAGCTGGCTGCAGGGCGCCATTAAGCCTGACATCTCTGCCTGCGTGTCGGCGGCAGTCCCGTCACTGCGAAGCTCCCTCTCGTGACCACATGTGTGGAGTCAGGGGAGGTGGCGCTGGGTGGCGAGGACGGTGACTGCAGGGTCTAGAATTACGCAGAATATCTACTTCGAACGTTTATGTTTGGCCTAGGTCTTTTACCTTAAAACCTGTTTCATGGCCGGGCGAGGTGACTCATGCCTGTAATCCCAGCACTTTGGGAGATAGAGACAGGTGGATCATGAGGTCAGGAGATCAAGACCATCCTGGCCAACATGGTGAAACGCTGTCTCTCTACAAAAACACAAAAAGTTAGCCGGGCGCGGTGGCTCGCGCCTGTAGTCCCAGTGACTCTGGAGGCTGAGGCAGGAGAATCACTTGAACCCAGGAGGCAGAGGTTGCAGTGAGCCGAGATCAAGCCGCTGTGCTCCAGCCTGAGCGACAGAGTGAGACTCTGTCTCAAAAAACAAAAACCAAAACCAAAACCAAAACCAAAATGACTTCACATTGAAAGAAGATGAGTGTTTTTCCGTTTGTCACATCGGTGCAGATGTTATGTTCATGGCAAACTCCACGGCTCCATTAAAACACCCTCAGGAAATGGTCTCCCAATCGAGGAGGTGCAGCTCGGCGGGCCCCGTCACCCAGGGCGACCCCGTGTGGGCAGCAGGGACCCAGAGTGCAGGGTGCCAGGGGAAGAGCAGCGGACACCCTGGATGAGGAGCGGACTCACCTGCGCGCAGGAAGCATCTTCCCAGGACCCTGGAAGCAGGTGGGCAGGACTCTCCAGGTCTGTGAAAGCTGAGCCCACACTGAGGAAGCTGGTACTGATGGGTGACAGGGTTCCATGTGCACACACATGCTGGGTGACCTTGGGGACATGGAAAAATGGCGGTCATGAACCCTTCACCTCCCAGGTCCCCAGGCTCTGCGTGTCGTATTCAGACGTGCCCCTGAGCTGGGACCCTCTGCCTGGCCTTTCCTCCAGCCCAGCCCTATTGCACCTCTGGCCTGAAGCAGCCACATCCTTCACACAGTGGTGACCCGGGGTGGGGGGTGCCCTGGCCACAGGCCTCGACTTGACCCTGTCCTTGGCCAGGGCCTCTGACCCCAGTCTTAACGGTCGCACGGCCCCCAGTTCTTCCTCTGATCCTATCGCCAAACGCTCTCATGGTGGTCTGGTCCTGACTCTATCAGGACAAACAGGTATCCTGTCCCCAGGCGCCGTGGCCTAACAGCCTGTGGGTGACGGCCTCAGGTTGATCCCTCTTAGATAAGGGAACTGTGCCTCCGTGGTCAGCACAGAGAGCAGGATGCAGGGTGTTTCAGTAGCTGGCCCTCGTCCCGCCCCTGTGTGCCCTTCTGTGCCATGGTGGCCATCCCAGGAGTTAGCCCCAGGTCGAGGTGGGGACGTGGGGGTGTGAGGACACGCAGCCCTGCCTTCTCTGTTTCCCTTCTCACCTCAGGGCTGCTGCCCGCTGGCACTGATGGATGAGGCTGTCACGTCTTTCTCTCCCTCCGGGCCTCCCCTGGGCTGTTTCTCCAGCACCTCCTGGCTCTTCCCAGCCCTGGGAAGCAACATGTTCTCTGACTGGCAGTGGAGCTGGGCCATGCCTAGGGTGCCCCAAAGCCTCCTGGGCTCAGACTCCCAGTCCTGAATCCCAGCAGCTCCTGGCCACTCTGCCCACCCACACCCTGCCCTGCTCAGCGTGGACTGCCCCAGAGCCAAGCACCCAGCCTGCCCCATGCCCCACCCTGGGTCCTCTGGCTTACCCTGTCCACACCAGTGCCATCTGCCCAGGCCCCCTGGACAGGCAGGGCTGAGGACATACGGGACAGCCTGGCTTGGGGCCCCTGAAGCAGAGCTCAGGGCCCGCCCCCAACTCCCTGGCTGGAGGTGGCCCCAGGCCTGGGTGTGCTGTCTCCCCAGCCACCTTCCTTGTGGTTCCCGAGTCACGGCCAGCCCTGAGGACTCAGTAAGTGTCACCGCTGGCATCACCGGCCACCCAGAGGCCACGCAGAGCCAGGAGCTCAGCAGGCGGGGGCCGGGGCAGGGCTCAGAGTTGCTTTTTTGAGTCACCACGGAGAGGCTTGTTCCTGGTGGATGAGGAGGGGGACTGAGGGTGGGGCTGGTGATGACCCGGGGGCCTCCAGCCAGGAGGAGGAGGAGGCTCGGCTACCTCTCACTGAGCTGCTTGGCTCACCTGGAGTTGGGGCGGATTCCATTATGCAGCCCTGGGTGGAGTCTGGGGAGGAGGACCATCCAGCCCCCCATAGTGACCTGCACCTGCCGGGATGTCCTGATGGGCCAGGGTCACAGGCATTCTGTTTGAGGAAGAGGACCATCTGCTCTGGCCACTCAAAGAGGATCTGACCCAGGGCTGGGCTGCTGTGTGGACCTGGGATGAGAGAGCCTGGGGTCGGCTCCCCTGGGCCCCGTCTCCACCCCTGCAGGGAGGATTCGGCCTCGGGTCATCGGCCCAGGCCTTGGTGAAGCCCCACTGCCTTCGGTGAGGATGAGAGGACCTCCCCCCAGGGACAGCGGGCTGCTGTGCACTGATTGGCATGTGTGGGGTGGCTGTGGAAGCTGGGAGACCACCGTGCGGCCCCAGGGGAGGGGCCTGCCCATGTCGTCAACATTGCCACCACCTGCCCTGGGCATCGAGAAATGCTTGGCCACCTGGCTCTGAGCATCACTGGCCTCGAGGTGGGGACGCCATCCCACCACCTCCCCAGGGCGCAGGAACCTGCCAGGTGAGGTGGCGCTTCTGCAGTGAGGCTGCGTACCCTCCTCCCCAACCCTGGCGGCTCTCCTCTGCTGGTGATGCTGGTGGGGACAGTGACCCAGTGGCTCAGGGCAGCTGCACCTCCGGAGCCTGGACCAAGGACCCACACCCCTGGTCGCTGGCCACCACCCTTCTCAACCTGAACAAGGGGCCGCTTCCTCCCCGCCCCTTCTCCAAGGAGAGGGCTGACTGGCACCTGCCCACTTCCTGTGCCTGAGAATAAAGGGGCTCCGAGAGGCCGGGGAGAGCTGCGGAGTCCTGGCATGGTAAGGGTGCCGTCCCCTCCCTGACACCTGCGGGCGGCTCCCCGACCCACCCCTGACCCCGGGTCTGAGCCCCCAGCCCCACTCCACGCTGTCTCCCTGCAGATGCTGCTGCTGCTGTTCCTGGCCATCTTCTCCCTGGGGAGCTGCAGCTCGGGGAGCCCAGGTGAGTCCCGGCCCTCACAGCCCTCCCTTCCCAGAGGCTCCGCCGGCCCTGACCCAGGATCCAGGGGACGTGTGTACAGTCCGGCTCTGGCCCGAGTGTGGGCACGGGCTGAGGCTCGGGCGTCTGAGGCCGGGCTCCCTGACCTCCTCCTGTCGCTCCCAGCAACCATCCCCGAGAATGACCTGCTGGGCATCGTGGGGGGCCACAACGCCCCCCAGGGAAAGTGGCCGTGGCAGGTCAGCCTGAGGATCTACAGCTACCGCTGGGCGTCCTGGGTGCACATCTGCGGGGGCTCCCTCATCCACCCCCAGTGGGTGCTGACCGCCGCCCACTGCATCTTCCGGTGAGGCCTGGGCGGGGACCCCAGTGAGGGAAGGGTGGGAGTGTGGCCGCCCCAGACCAGGCCCCCTGAGAAGCCCGGTTCTGTCCTCCCCAGGAAGGACACTGACCCGTCCACCTACCGGATCCACGCCGGGGACGTGTATCTCTATGGGGGCCGGGAGCTGCTGAATGTCAGCCGGGTCATCGTCCACCCCGACTACGTGACGCCGGGGCTGGGAGCGGACGTAGCCCTACTCCAGCTGGAAAGCCCGGTGATCTGCGCTGCTAATGTCAAGCCGGTCAAGCTCTCCCCCGTCTCCCTGAAGCTCACCCCGAAGGACCGGTGCTGGGTGACCGGCTGGGGAGCCGTCGGGATGTTCGGTGCGTGTTGAGTGGGGGCTGGGGAAGGACTCAGGTCACCCCAGGGTTCCTGGGGCGTGAGTTCCAGCTAGGGAAGAGATGGCGTTGCTCACAGCCACGCGGTGCCTCCAGCTCCTTTTCCCAACAGCTCTGTGCTGCCCAGGCCAGGAGAGTCGGGGTCCTGTGACTGCCAATGGCAGAACCGAGCTCAGACTTGACATGCAGAGGGGAAAACCCATCAAAACCAGAAACACCTCAAAACCAAAAGGCATTTTTGGAGGAAAAAAGAAAAACAGAAAAACTCATCCCTCCACTTTTCTCTGGGCGGTCCACCTCTGAGCCCTAGGAGTTTAGAGGGAGACACGCCCCCCCACGGGGTCCCGCACACCGTGTTCAGGCCGCCAGGCCACGGCGCAAGGGACTAGGGGCCCTTGACAGCAGGGCAGTCCCCCGCCTCCGACCCAGAGTCTCCAATGTCCTGGTCGGGGAAGCCCTGGGCCAGCTGGGCCGCTGGCAGGGCCGGGTCCGCTGCGCCAGCCCGGGGTTCCTCTGTCCCTAGAGTCGCTGCCGCCGCCGTTCCGCCTGCAGCAGGTGAGAGTGCAGGTGGTGGAGAACGCCGTCTGCGAGCAGCGGTACCGCAACGCCTCCCGGCACGCGGGCGACGGGCCGATCATCCGGGATGACATGCTGTGCGCAGGCAGCGAGGGCCGCGACTCCTGCCAAGTGAGTTCTGCTGCCCCAACCCCGCCCTGTCCCCACCTGCCCCGCCCCCGCCCCGCCCCTGCCCCGCTCTCGCCCTGCCCTCACCCCGCCCCCGTCCAGCTCTCCCCCCACCCCGCCCCGCCCTCACCCCACCCCGCCCCTTCCTCGCCCCTCCATCGCTCCGCCCACGTCCCCGCCCCCTCCATCGCTCCGCCCACTTCCCCGCCCCTCCATCGCTCCGCCCACTTCCTTCGCCCCGCCCCGCCCCTGCCCCGCCGCTCCGTCGCCCCCGCCCCGCCCCGGAGCTCAGCGGGACCCCTTTCCTTCCCCTCCTCAGGGTGACTCCGGCGGCCCCCTGGTCTGCAGGGTGCGGGGGTCCTGGAGCCTGGTGGGGGTGGTCAGCTGGGGCTACGGCTGTGCCCTGCGGGACTTCCCCGGCGTCTACGCCCGCGTCCAGACCCACGTGCCCTGGATCCTGCAGCAGGTCGGGGAGCTGCCCTGAGCTCCGGGCCGGGCTCCGGGCCGGACCCGCCTCCTCCGGGTGGTCGTCGCTGCCGCCTCCGCTGCAGGCCGCGGGCCTGAGCCCGGTTCTCCGGCCCCTCAGCGCCCCGGACCTCCGTGATGCGGGGGCAGGTGCTGGGGAGGGGAGGTCGGGGGCCTCGCAGCGTCTGTGATTAAAGAGCTTGGGAACAGCAGCGTGCGTTTTGTGGCGTCTTTGCGGGGAACACAGCAAGAAATCTCTAAATAAAACGCATCACCACAAAAACACCCCAAAACCAAAAGGCATTTTTTGAAGGGGAAAAAACAAAAAAAGTAGAAAAAGGGAGGGTTTTGCACCCCGACTGCGGCCGGGTGTGGTGTGCTCAGCACCGCCCGTCGGAGGCCACCTGGGCTGCCTCGGCTTTGGGGCTCTGGTAATGAAGGTGCTAAGAACCCCCCGGGCGCCGCTGCAGTGCCAGCTTCCAGGTGAGGACACCCAGGCAGGCAGCTCTTCGGAGGTGCAGGCGCGGTGGCCGGGGGTTCCGGGGGCCGGGCCCGAGCGCTGCCTGCTGCTCCTGTGAGGGGGCCTCCGTGTCCCCGGGCCTAGCCTCCCTGGACCATGGTGAGGTTTAGGTCCCTCCTGTACGGGGTCCCAGAGCTCAGACACCGCCTCGCAGGGCAAGATGGGAGGGCACGGTGGGTAAGAGGCCCAGCCTTCGCATGGGGTCACTTCCTCTCAGGGCCACACCAGGGTGGGCGGGGAGAGCAGCGTTCTAAGGGGCAGGCGACGCCAGGAACCACCGGGTCCCTCCTCCCCCTGCTCATTCTGCACCCAGACTGGGCAGACTCAGGGCGCAGCCCCAGGCTTTAGGTCCACGTGTGGCCCCAGGCCAGCTCCCTGGGGCGCCCACAACCAGGGGCTTCCTGCCTTCCCCTCTGCTTCCAAGACCTCTGCAGGACTGAGAAAAGGTGGGAGCCTAAAAGGGAGGGTCTGGGGGCTTTCCGCTCCTCCGAGGAAGTTTCTGCAGGTCAGACAGTGGGGCCTGGCCTTCACCTTCCCCCTGCCCTCCCCTGCCCTGCCTGTCACTCCTGGGGGTAGGGGTGGGCTGGACCCCCCGAAGGCAGGGGCTTTGGGGCAAACCCAGGCACTGAGCCTCTGCAGAAACCACAGCTGGGTTATACTCTCCTGGTCCCTGGTCTTTCCAGAATGAGACAGAGCGGAGGGGTCGGGGCACCTCTAGGCAGTGGGAAAGTCTCCAAGGGAGGTGTGGGAAAGGCTTGGAGGCAGGGTGGGGCACCGCCCTTTCTCTCCTGGAATGTGGTTCCCTCTGGCACTCCTCACACTTCCCTTGGGAGAAAGTGGGGAGTCCTGCAGGTTTCCCTCTGCTCTAAACCCAGGGTGAGACCTGCTGGACACAGCCCAGCTCCCAGGGCGCTCTCTGCCGGGGTCCAGGGTCCAGCTGCACCCCCACCACTTCCCAGGTTGCTCCTGGGTCTCCCGCATTGCCCGGGCTCCCTGGGCTTTCTAGGACAGGTGGGGGAGGGGGCAGCCATCAGTACCACTCCGGACCTCTGAGCCACGTCTGTGCCCAGCCGGACCCTGCCGGACCTCGATCTGCCCTCAGGGCGTTCAGAATCCCTCCCTCGTAGACCCTGATCTGTGCGACTCACAGGACGCCGAGACCCAGCGGGGAGGCCGAGCACTTCCAGCCCCTCTGAGCGGCCGCCGCGAGCTTCTGTGCTTTCTCCAATTTCAGCTTCAGCAAGAAAGAAACCGCCTCCCTCTGCCAGGAGAAAACCGAAATTAATTACTCCTCCTCCAAAATGGGAGCCACCGACCTCCACACTCGCCGAACAGGGCTGCTGAGGAGGCCGGTCCCACAGTGACCGCTGTGCCTCAGGGGTCAGGACCCCGCAGCTCTGGCAGCTGCCTCGGGCCACGCCTGGACCCTTCCTCCCTAGAGACACCAACACCAGAAACACACTGACGACCACACCTGCTTTTTATCGTGCACTTTAATGAGACCCAGGGCTCGGGAAGACTGGCGTCCACCACCAGCTACCTGGGCAGCGGAGGGCCGGAGGAGCCAGGAGGAGGGGGCTCAGGATGGAGGAGGAGGCTCAGGATGGGGGAAGGGGCTCAGAATAGGGGAGGGGGCTCAGGATGGGGACTCAGGATGGGGAAGGGGACTCAGGATGGGGGAGGGGACTCAGGATGGGGAGGGGGCTCAGGATGGAGGAGGGGGCTCAGGATGGGGGAGGGAGCTCAGGATGGAGGAGGAGGCTCAGGATGGGGGAAGGGGCTCAGGATAGGGGAGGGGGCTCAGGATGGGGGCTCAGGATGGGGAAGGGGACTCAGGATGGGGGAGGGGACTCAGGATGGGGAGGGGGCTCAGGATGGAGGAGGGGGCTCAGGATGGGGGAGGGAGCTCAGGATGGAGGAGGAGGCTCAGGATGGGGGAAGGGGCTCAGGATAGGGGAGGGGGCTCAGGATGGGGAAGGGGGCTCAGATGGGGGAGGGGACTCAGGATGGGGGAGGGGACTCAGGATGGGGAGGGGGCTCAGGATGGAGGAGGGGGCTCAGGATGGGGGAGGGAGCTCAGCATGGAGGAGGAGGCTCAGGATGGGGGAAGGGGCTCAGGATAGGGGAGGGGGCTCAGGATGGGGGCTCAGGATGGAGGAGGGGCTCAGGATGGGGAAGGGGGCTCAGATGGGGGAGGGGACTCAGGATGGGGGAGGGGACTCAGGATGGGGAGGGGGCTCAGTATGGGGAGGGGGCTCAGGATGGGGGAGGGGCTCAAGATGGGGGCAGGTGCGGGGCGTGGCTGCCACCTGGGTAGGAAACAGTGGTGTTACGGACAGGAGGGGAAGGCTCTCCAGTGACCTGGGTCACCACCTGCAGGCCTGGCTCAGGGCTTCTTGGGCACGTATTGGTGGATCCAGTCCAAGTAGTAGGTGACGTGGGTGTAGATGCCAGGCCGGTTGGGCAGGGCACAGCCCTCGCCCCAGCTGACCACACCCGCCTGCAGCCAGGTGTCGTTCACCTTGCAGACCAGGGGCCCTCCAGAGTCGCCCTGGGAAGGTCAGGGGTCAGCGCTCGCCGGCCGGGCTCGGGGGGTCGGGGTGGGGGAAGCAGCCTACCTGGCAGGAGTCGCGCTCTTCGTTGCCCGCACACAGCATGCTGTCTTGTACAATGCGAAAGCTGTCACCCGTGTAGAGGCCGGCGTGGTATTTCGCATCGCAAAGGTGGTTTTCCACTATGGGGACTTCCACCTCCCTCAGCGGGTAGGGCGGGGGCAGGTGCACTGTGGACAGAGCGGGAGGTGGAGCCGGGGCTGGGGCCGGATGGGGGCCGTTGGGTGAACTTGGTGGCCATGTCATGGGCAGGGGAGGCAGCGCCCTGTGCCCAGCACTGCTCTGTGTCCAGGCCTGCAGCCCCTGGGAAGGGGCAGTGACGGCAGACTAGGTCCCTCCCTGAGGCTGGTCCTGGGTCCCTGGCCTCATTGAAGCCCCACGTGGGGAAGGGAGGGAGGGCGGGCTCTGGAGACTGCCAGGCTGGGATCCATGACACGGGGGGCAAAGCCCAGGCCCCCATCTCCCCCTAGGCTCGGCTGGGCCCCAGGCGAGGAGGACGCAGGACCCTGGGCTCAGTTTCCCCTCTGCATGGAGCGGGAGAGCCCACCTCAGCTCAGGCTCCTTCGGCATGACCTGGAGGTCACAGCATGACCCAAGGCTTTGCTCTGAATTGTGGATACAATGGGGACAAGACCTTCTAGAAGTGAAAATGTTCCTCCTGCAGGGTCAGAGTGAGCTTCCTGTAGGCCTCACGGCACCTGCCAGAACCCTGATTCCCAGGCCTCGTCCGCGGCCGAGGGGCGGAGTGCAGGCGGCTCCCAGCCCAGCACCGGTCTGTCTCCTTGCAGCAAGCACCCTGTGTGCTTTCTCTCTCTGCATAGCAAGTGTGTGACGTAGGAACTTTTAATGCGTCCTTTCACAGAAGGGGAAACTGAGGCCCGGAGGTGTTAAGGGAGGGGCCCAGGACCGCCAGACCCATCATCTCTACTCGGGGCACCTGCTACCTTTCGCCACTGCCTATTCCATCCATCCTGGCCTTGAGTCCGCCTCCCTGAGCCGCCCTGAGGGACCCTGTCACCCCAGGGACCCCAGGGGCTGGGCTGTGGCTGTGACCTTGTGCCCACCTGGCCCGGCCTCCCGCTGTCCTGGACCCACCTATTGTCCACGTCACCCCAGCCGGTGACCCAGCACGGCGTCCCCGCGGGGAAGGTCTCCGAGGCAGGGGGCAGGGTGACCGTGCGGATGTGGCTGGAGACTTTCACGGGTTCCTCCAGCTCCAGCAGGGCGATGTCCGCCCCGTCTGCGCCATGTAGAACTGGGGGTGCACGAGGAGCCTGCTGACCCGCAGTAGCCGGTCCTTGTAGTAGAGGTGCTGCTCCCGCAGCTGCACCCTGAGGTCGGCCAGATCCTTGACGTGCCCGGTGGTAGACACTCCACTCAGGCCCTGGGCAGCCCCCAGGAGCACCTGGAAGCCAGGGCACACCCAGCCCTCACCCACCCCCAAACCCCTGGGAGACTCACGGTCCCAGGCAGTGCGCCGCTGTCAGCACCCACTGCGGGTGGATGAGGGAGCCCCCGCAGACGTGCTTCCAGAACTGGCGGCGGACTCTCAGGCTCACCTGCCAGGGCCACCTGTTCCTGGGGGCCTCCTGCCCCCCGACGATGCCTGCTCATGGTAGTGCCTGGCCTGGGGCTGGGGCAGGAGCCAGTTCAGGACCGGGAAGCAGCCCCACGCCTGGGCCAGACCTCCTCCCCTGTGTCGGGGCCAGACCTCCTCCCCTGTGTCGGGGCCAGCTGAGCCTCCCCAGAACCCTCCTGGGCCCCGGCCTCTGGGACCTAGTGAGGGGCAGGGTGCCCCCGGCTGGGACTCACCAGGGGCCGAGTGAGCCAGGCTCACTAGGACGGGCAGCACCAGCAGCAGCAGGCTCAGCATCTGAGGAGCAAGAA